GTGCACATGCTCCTCCAGGATTAGTTACTTGTGCTTTCCTGCGGAGTTTGATAGTTGAGTGCGAACTCTCGGATGTCGGCCATTTGCATGCAAGGCTGGTTCCACTGCAGAGGAGAGGAGAGGCCTGAAACTCTGATTGGTGCAGGAGTTGCTAGACAACAGATGTCCAGTCGGCTGAGAGGTGGACTACCTGTGGAGGAGGAGAGAGATAGTGAAAGAAGAGTGGAGGTGGATAATGATGGAGAGATGGAGTGAGGCAATCTTATGTCAGACATATAGTGTACAGTTAGATACAGCAGAGGAAAATACTGCTCATATAAGATGACCCACCTCTGCGTACCTCTAAAGTGTTTGCAATGTGAAATCATTATTTTCTTATGATTCATTTACACTATTATTAATACAGGCTTAAAACAGCTGAAGACTTCAGTGTGCTGTTTTATTGCTCTAATAAATATTCTGTGACACAGAAGGAAGCTTATTAATAAGGCAACATGTTAAATTTCATATTTAGCATTTACCAAACTTTGTGTATTTAAATATAGCATCATTATCTGCATTTTCACATCACGTCTGTGACTGAGAAATGTGATGAAAGTGAATTTACAACAGAAAATGGTCGAGAATGATTTTCATGACACAGGAGTGATGTGTAATGTCAGGTTTAAAGGTTCAGATTTAGATGAAAAGGATCTAGTGCCAGAAGTTGAATTTAAAATAATCCTAGTGATGTAGTGAATAGTATTGTTGTTTTCTTTACCCTAGAATGAGCCCTTTATATTTAAATACTTTATATGTACATCTCTATTGAGGCCATGTTTTTTACAGTGGCCGTAACCAGACAAACTAAACATCTTTTGAGTTTTTATGACAACTGAAGGCTAGCACAGGTTCTCTTTCCTGTTTGGTAGTGGAGGGGTGTTCAGTTGCAACATGTAACTTCACCAGTAGATGTCACTAAATTCTACACACTGAACCTTTGAAGAGCAGGTGGACACAGAAACGCAGCAGCGAGAAAAGTTAACATTAAGTCTCCTTTAATCAGAGGCAGGGTTTTCCCCCCAAAGAAACAAGGTCCAAAAATCCATGAACAGAAAAAACACTGCGATCAAAAACAAAACACTAGCAATGAGAAAAACTCTACAGCAAGGGATAAAGGGGTGAAGGAATGAGGACAGGGTGGTGACGTAAGACAACCATGTAAGACGACAGACTGACTGAGGAGAGCACAGAGACTTATATACACAGGGAGGCAGGGGTTAATTGGACACAGGTGAAACACATGAGGGACAGGTGACAATCACAGGGGCGGGAAACAGGACCAAGACAGGAAGCCAAGGTAGAGACACATGAGGGGCAAAAAACTTCAAAATAAAACAGGAAACACAGAACTTAGAATGAAACAACTGAACACAAACCCAAACACAAGGAAACACAGAAAAAAGAGTCCACAAACAGAACCTAAACAACAAAATCCAAAATACCCCCCATCAAAAGAGGCAAAGTCCAGAGTCATGACAGTGGAAGGTAAAGATACTACTTAACGGACAATGCTTTATTTTTATTTTGAGGTCAGCATTTCCTTCGATGTCAGTTGACTTTAAAAGCCCTTGAAAATGACCACGTAGACCCTTCCTCATGGACCACACCTGCTGCAATGTGCACATTACCACCGGAAAAGCTCAGTGTTTCCCTCTAGTCAGGATTTGTTTGTTAAAGAGCTCTGACTTTGGAAATCTGAAAACTGATATTAAACACTGCATCAAAAAGAGAACGTCTAGGATAGTAGATGTTTTTCCTGCGGTATGAATTCACACGATGATTCCAGTGAAAGCCTGCACGCTTTGATAGTTGAACTTCAACACAGCCTTGCTTTCTAGCAATTAGTCTGCTGTTTGCTGTCATGATAAATTATGAAGCAGAGCTATTACATAAGCCTGCAAGGATTTAAATGAACACAGGGTATCTGATTGTTCACAAAAACAAAAAATTGCATATCTCATATATCTATGATATTAAATATTCTTTATATTATGTATATCTTTGTTTGTATGAAAATAGTGTGTATAATGTGATGACATTACTACAGATACATATAAAATGAATATAAATTTCCAATCTACATACACTCAGTTTTATTTGTATAGCAGCCAATGAAAAGATTCATACACTGAAGGCTCTTGACAAAGTAAGGTCGAAACCTAAAATATGATTGAGTAGCCCGACAGGTCCCACAATGAACAAGCACTTGTCGACAGAAGAGAGAGAAAAAAACTCAATGTGTGGGGATGAGAGGAGAAAAATGGGGGTGAGAGAAGAGGTGGGCGGAAAGGGAGGAGAGAAAAAGAGAGAGAGAGAGAAAGGAAGAATTGCATTTCTGTCATGCAAAATGGATCTTGATGCTTAGGCCAAAACAAAGATTCATGTGTAAAACAGAAATCTCTTAGTGACATTAAAATGAGGTGCCAGAGTAAAAGGGAAATATTGGGTTTGTGTATGAGACAGAGAGAAGTAGAGGGAGATCTGAGCCACTGAATGAAAAGTCTGAGGCAGAGATGGAGAGACGAGTGACCTTGCTCAGAGGATCCTGCTCATCATGAAATCCTGGCTGAGCTGCCATCGCTGCTCTGTCGGGATGCCTCCCTGCCTCCCTGCCTCCCTGCTTCCCTGCCTCCCTGCCTCTCTGCTGCTGTGCTCGTCTCTAAAGCTGGCACTACACTTCAAGCTAAATCATAAATTGGCGTATTCTCACAGGCAATATGGCGGAGTTACGACCACACAAAAGAGCCGCACTGGGGCTGGTCTGTAGCAGGGTGTGCAAGTCTTGTGCCGGAAATGTCCTTTCCACCACCTCTGCTGTTAGTTTATAGCGTCACGTGATTCTGCCCGTGGCCTCAGGGTGCATGTTTTCATTCTATCTGATGCTTATTTACTCCTGTCACTATATCTAAAATGTACAAAATGGAACTGTAGCCACTCGAGGCCTCTCAATCCAAACAATAACTAAAGACCTTATTTTGATGATGTAATGAAGCAGAGTGGGATCATGGGAGTTGTTGTCTTCGTCATAATATTTTGTCCAATAATCTTCTTTGGTCACTTTGCGTGGCACTTTACTGAGAGAGCTTCGACAACAGAGCGTGCTGAAAACCGTAACGATATATTACAAGTGACCAATACAAACAGTGGAAGGAAAAAACAACAGACTGGCTAGCTAATAGTTTTTTTTTCCTTCTTCATATGTTTACTCTGAAAGCAGAGACAGACAAAGACACAGGTAAAGCTGACATGATGCAATTGAAGGGCGACCGAAATGAAACGTCTCAATATCTTGAATAAAATCCTGTATTTCGCTGGGTTTGAACATTCTGCATAATATAAAAAATACTGAAGCCCAAATTCTCCTTTCTCATAGAGAAAGTGCTGCACATATGTTGATTTATTATATGATTGAGTCTTAATCACTGCTGCATCCAAATAGGAACTTGATTATCAGTATAAGCTGTATAGTTTTATTCATTAATGCAGAAACCAAAATATGATTAAATAAATAAATTATTCTTTTGTAAGTTCATTATTTGTTGTGGATTTATTGGCTTTTTTTTATGTCAATTGTGAATGCAGGGCTGGGAAAGATTTTCAACTGATTTAAGGTGTTCATCAAACACAGGCACAGACCCACCTCTCTGTCCGTGGTGTGGAGGAATGCAAACAGTCTCCTGTTCAGCTTTTGTGCTCGTAGCTAACGGGAGGTTTTATTAAACTTCTTCCAGATGTATTTTTAGCTTTAACTGTCGTGCTGTCGTGTAGCAATGGCTCCTGCTGTAGTTTGTTTGTTTCTCCACCTCCACTAGTGTGTGCATGTACAGACCTTTAGTTTGCAACACACACACACACACACACACACGCACACACACACACTTTTTACAGAGCGTTGGAGAGCACGCCAAGTTCTATTTCGTTCAAATACACTGGAGCTCTAAGTTTGTCAGTGCATCAGCTTGTCACTTTGTATAGATGAACTACACCAACACAGACAAACAGAGACCTGTACCTATAATGGGAACAAGCTGCACAGTCCACGGTTTCCATAGCATCAAGAGGAGCAGAGGAAGGAGGCAAGGATGAGAGTAATAAATAGGCGTCCTATTTTATCAGGGAAACAAAAGTAGAACCCACTGCTCTTCTTTCTCTCCCTCACCTTCTCTCTCGCTCTGCCTCTCTCTAGCTTTCTATATGTCCAGAGGAAAAGCTGAAATGGGTCGACACTGGACTGCATTGCTAATTATAACTCAGACTCAAGTTGTTGAATCAGAGTCACTGGACTTAGTAGTGATGGGAGATTTGAACGTCACCTGCAGTATAGGTCATAAACCCTGTTTCCTCCATGTTAGCGGATGAGACATGGACCAAACACTTTTAGGTAGTTTGATGTTTGTTCAAGTGTTAATTCTTCCTCAAAATTAGCCTTTATTATTTTGATGCTGTACAAACATCATAGATTTTAGTTTATATGTAAAATTTAATTTGTTTGCTGGTGTATTTACTTCATTCTCACTGTAGCACAGGGAACCTGTGAGCAGATTGCAGGGACTTATATTGAGTCTCACAGTGAGGTCAATATGAACCCACTGTGGCTGCTCACTGTGTTGGATGTTCACTGTTGTCTGTCTGTTTGTGGCACACAACCAAGCACATATCAGGTCAAATCATTTCTGTCAAGCATTTCAGCTCCGATAAGGAAAAGACGGGGCCTGACACAAAGCCAACACACAGACACAACATGACACACACACACACAGATACAAGCAGGGTGAATGTCAGGTACAGAAACACACACTGCCCCTGACAACGACGCCCGTCTCCTCCACTGAGTCAAAACCAACTTGCAGCCAACTTCATGTTAGATGATCCAGAGAGCCAATCATAGCAGGGAGTAATGAAGAGTATAGAAAATAACCTCACTCACTCTGTGTTTGTGTCTCCTCTGTTTTTTTAAGATCATCAAAAGCTGGAGAGGGAGGCGAGGATTTGTCGTCTACTGAAGCACCCCAACATCGGTGAGCTGCGAGTCCTGAAGCTCAGGAAACACACACACACAGGAACACAGATACAAATGAAAACAACGTTTTGTTCAGGTCTCGGGTGATTCCTGCCGTTGCCATTCATCTTCCAGATACAGTTACGAGAGAGCAAGTGTGTGTTTGTACGTGAGCGGGTATGTAATGATGATGTATCTGTGTGCTCTCCTCGCTGGGTCATCAGAAACTCAGGAGCCTCACACTCTCTCTCTCTGTCTTAACCACTGACCCTTCACAATCTTTCCTCCTCTTTGATAGAGCCTGTCCCTCCTCTTTTGTTCTGTTCACACTCGTCTGCTTTAATCTTTCTTTCCTTCTCTGTTTTTAATACTGATCTGACAGTTCTGCAATTCCAGTCAGTTTCAAGACACCTCTGCTCTTCTAAAGTTTGAGAACAGCGATGACTGATCATTTTGATTCCAGACCTCTGTAATCTAAAATATGAGACATATACATTTATATAAGACAGTTTGTGATATTAGACGCACTACTGGGAAATTATTCTAGTTCAGAATCATGAGCCAAATGCTCAATACAACAGCTGTGTCTCAATTCAGGGGCTGCATCCTTCGAAGGCTGCATGAAGACCGATTGCATCACTGCGGTGTGACTGTAACATTTGTAGGCTCCTTCAAATGCGGCCGACAAATGCATTGTTCTATCCCCACGGAACAAAGGCCCCAACGGCTGGATTCTTCCCGGCCCAACCTATCCCAGAATTCATAGTGCTTCAATGACAAACTGTTTTTCAAAAAAAACATAATAGCGGCTGCAAGCTACGAGACGCCCAATACTCAAGTATCTAACAGTACACAAAAAACAATGGACAATAAAACCTTCTAGTGGTGTCCAACTTCAGCCCAGTTGCTAGGCAGCAGCAGTGAGGGCTGCATGAGCTGGTGACGCCGATCACAGAAAGACTCTGTAGACCTGACCATCTCATTTCAGTTTAACCCTCGTAGTCTACGCGGCCCATGTCTACTGTGAAGCAGCCCCTGAATTCAGACACAGCTCAGATCATAGACTTTATATAAACATAGACAACATGAGCTAAATCTTCCTGATCACCCCCTGGTGGCTGGCTGCAGTATAGATCATAAACCCTGCCTCCTCCATGTTAGTGGATGGGACATGGATCAAACTTAAAAGTCCAGGTACACATTAAATAATTAGAAAAATATAGATTCTGTCATAGGCAGTTCTTATCACAATGGTGTTTGTTCAAGTGTTAATTTTTCGGATCATTTCAAATTTATGTTGTTGATGGGATAAAAAATGAGGGGAAACCTTCTACCACGGCCCCATCCCCCAATCTCTTCCTTGCAGACTCTGTCACCAAATGCACAAGATGGCAGCGTTCTACCTGGGATATTTTGGCTTCATTTCTGGATAGTGGGAGGAAGTGGAGATGTATCGTCCATCTTTCCTCTGGTCCATGCCTCACATTAATACAGTAGCAAAGATCCAGGACCAAAGTGGAAATCAGAAAATCTATTTCACCATATTAAAGAAGACCATGTCAAAAGTGTGAATGGATAAAAGAAAAAACATCAACTCACTTTTAAAAATAAAGCACTAACACTTTTGATCACATAAAACAGCATGAATCATCTTATCAAGTGGAGGTAGACCACGATTCAAACTCATTTTGCTGCTTGATGCTCACACTATGTTTCATGTTCATGTTGCGATACACAACTCTGAGACAGAGCACAACAAAGGGAACTGTAGATGATGAGTAGTGGCTTTAGCAATGACTGATTTCTCTTTTATTTTTCCTCTGTCTCCTCTCTTCCACTTTCCTGTTAAATCTCCTCGACAGTACGACTCCATGACAGCATATCAGAAGAAGGCTTCCACTATCTGGTGTTTGATCTGTGAGTAGGAGACTCGCGGACCCCACCACTTTCACATGTTCTGTCTTGTTTTGCTTTCTTGTATTGTGTGTTTTTTTGTGGTGAACATGTACAGCATCATTCAACAAACAACGGATCTATGTTAATTTAGTTGTGTACTTATATCATCCAAAATGTTCCCAACAATGTTCAATCCCAGAGAAATCCACAATTTTATTCATGGTAACAGGAAGCTTTGTTGTATTTACATTTTAATATAACCATATATATTCACTGTACTGGGGCGCTGCTATAA